CCTGGGCAGTTTGGTTATTGAGAAGAAGTTGTTTAAAGTTTTTAACATATTTGACCCCTGTGACCTTGAAAATAGATGAAGGTCATTTATTTGAACAAACTTGGTAGCCCTTCATCCCAGTTTGCTTCTGGCCAAATATCATCACCCTAGGCCTTTCGGTTATTAAGAAGAAGTCGTTTAAAGTAAAATATTGACGCCGGCCGACGGACGGCCGACGGACGGCCGGACGGACGGACGACGGACGCCGCACCACGGCATAAGCTCACTTGGCACTTCGTGCCAGGTGAGCTAATAAAAACTCACATGAAAACAATTGTGAATAATATATATATAATATGAAAGTTCTCTTTTGATTTGGGCTTATAACACCTATAAGAGCCCCTCTCCCAACTGATTCTAGCAATGCATACCATTCTTTAATCTCGTTGGTTTTCTTGATGTAATTCTCCAGCCTCTTGAGTCCATGAACCTTCTGCTCCTTGAGATTATCGTACGACTCCCAGGTGTTGTGGATATGAGCCCAGTTTTTCCATTTGATGAGGTACTGCTGGGACGTCTCCTCTGTCTTGGGGTCACAGCCGTCGTTAGGGTCACCGTTGTCCTGTACATTGTAGATGGTTGTCTTACTGCCAATGGCTAGACAGAAACCGAAACCAGTAGGTTAAATTCCATAATATATCTCACCAGTACATCTTTGCCCCTTTTTCTGCTAAAACAATACATTTGTGTGCGGGAAATAAATTTCACATTAATTTTAGACTTTTAATATGATGGATAATTTTTGCAAATCAGGAAATATATCACCGATTGCAATTCTGTGTAGGAATATACACATAAAACCCCTCATCATTCATGTCAAAATGATTCCATGGGGTTCCTCCAATTTTATGGTTTATGGTTGTTTACCTATTTTGCGTCCCATCCTATCGCCAAGGATTTTCTCTATACACTCTCTGTTGTCCTCAACAACAGGCTCCGCCGCCTCTTCTCCTGGTGCCACCTCTATCAGGTCGTCAGAATCAGTGCGATCATCCGACTGCTCCTTGTAACTGTAGAAATAAAGTGGTCAATGTTTAACAGTACAAGGCACTGGCTACAGCTACAAAGCTTTCATCACTTATCATGCAAGTCGAGATATGTTGCAGTTCAAAGTTTTTTGTTTGAACTAAATAACATTTCAAAGGTATGAGATGGTTATCAAATGCCATTGAAGAAACTTTGGTAATAGCCAAGATCTGATCGCCTCCCCTTCTAGTTCTGGGTTAAAAGCAGTAAAGTAAGTAATAAGTTGGGCGAAAGAGGCTGTTTGTGTGACAGTTCTTATTTACCAATGACCTCTTATATTGACTGGTTCAGAATTCAAACTGCTGATAGACAATATCAAAAACACTTTTGCATCATGTGAGATACTTGTATTCTACAAGAAAGAAACAGAATCAAAAGACAACAGTGTACTGATCATGATGTTTGATAATAAATTATACCATGAAATGAATTATAACAGCACACCTAAATGAATCAAATTTTTTAAAGAACATAAAAAAGGTGAAGTACTAAATTAAAATCAGACAGTCATGCAAACATAGATTTAGTGATCCTATGAGATCATGAGATCATATCATGGACGAAAATTCGACAATATCCATCAGGTATGCATTTACAACAAGAGTACCGCAGCGTGGAACAATATAGCCCGTCGAATGCCATATAGTGTTATATACTTTCTTACATTGAAATATGATATGCATCATTCTAAGAGTGGTAAGCTGACATGCTATAAAAATGTAAGAGAAAATCTCCAGACAAAAAATCAAATACTGAAATGAACAAAGGGCAATAACTTTAGCAAAATTCGTTGAATAAAAATTCTTTTAAGGGAGACACAACTTCATATCATAATCATAATGTATACCAAGTTTCAAAGAGATCCGTTGACAAATGTAGGAGATCACCAGACAAAAATCAAATACTGAAATAAACAAAGGGCAATAACTTTTGCAAAATTCGTCAAATCAAAATTCTTTTCAATGAAACACAACAACATATCATGATTATTTAGCCTGCTAAGTTTCAAAGAGATCTGTTGAAAAATGTAGGAGATCACCGGACAAAAATCAAATACTGAAATGAACAAAGGGCAATAACTTTTGGAAAAATTGTCAAATCAAAATTCTTTTAAGGGAGACATAACTTCATATCATGATTATAATGTATACCAAATTGCAAAGAGATCGGTCGAAAAAAGGTAGGAAAAGATTGCCGGACAAACAAAAGTTTACGCCGGACAGACGGACGGACGACCAACCCCATACCATAATACTTCTGTCAAAGTTTACGGGCGTATAAAAAGTTATCTCCACCTAGAGTTGCCTTTACTACTTAAAACCTTAACAACTGATGCTTCATACTGTAATATCCTGAGAGGGATATGAATTGTTTCTACAAAGAAAACATACATATAAAATAAGAATGAGAAATGAAAATGAAATAAGCTATGCTTCACAATATGACATTAATTCTTTGATAAGGGGAGGTAGAAAGTGTAACAAGCAAAGTATAAGAAGAAGAGTTCTTGGAACACATATTTCACAATGTTTAAGATAAAAGGGTCTAACTTTTTATTCTGGAACATCTTTAACTAACTGCATTGATTCAATATAGTGCACAACAGCAACGACTTGCAAACTTGACGGAAGAAATGATCAAAAACTGACAATAAGTAAGGCGGGCAAAGACAACAATCCATGCCTTACCTAACATTTTTCTTTGCACTTTTCCGTCGTAGGGCGGGAGCTTTGTTAAGCTTGTTCCCTGTTGCTTTGCCCCTGAGTCACACAAGAAGAAATCTATCAGTACTATTTGTACTGATATATATGTGCATACAGCGATTTTATCAGACACATCCCCTCCCAAATTTTACTAAATTTCTTGCTATTTAAATTATAGATATTTTTCAGAAATAAAAAAATATAATCAACAGAAGAAAGTTAATTACCATTTTTCCCTTTTCAAGAATATTTTATATTCAATCAACCCCCCTCCCCCTTTCTTTACATGCTTCTCATTTAAAGTCTTTGAAATTCTCGTGTCATTTCTGAAATACAGCACATTTCTCCCCCTTCTAAGGTACAGCCTCTAATGAGTAAAATCACTGTCCTATTGAATATAATCATTCATCAACATGGCCAGACTTAGTAAATTTAAGTATATATTCATAACTTCTAATCTCCAACAGTCTTGAAGAATTCTGGACACATTTAAGGAACAAGAAATTGAGGAAATATTTAAGTACAGCTCATATTATCGAAGAAATGTTTTGGAAACATTTTATTTATCTTGAAGGGCTATTCCAGAAAACAAGAGGCCACCTGGAATATTGTTTTCAATTCAAAACCTGTTGAATATCATAAATGTTTATAAAAGTGTACAAGAAGAACTAAATCCCGACGGGCAGGCAAGGTACCAACAAGGGACATTAGTATTAATTTCTTCATGCCCTACAAATTTATATGTTGTTATTGGGTCGGGATCAAAACCGTTTCCGTGTTTTGCAAGTACACTGATTAAATCAAAAGGCTGCCCTAGTCAGGCAATGACCACCACCAGTAAAGGCTGTCCTAGTCAGGCAATGACCACCCCCAGTAAAGGCTGTCCTAGTCAGGCAATGACCACCACCAGTACAGGCTGTCCAAGTCGGGCAATGACCACCACCAGTAAAGGCTGTCCAAGTCGGGCAATGACCACCCCCAGTAAAGGCTGTCCTAGTCAGGCAATGACCACCACCAGAAAAGGCTGCCCTAGTCAGGCAATGACCACCCCCAGTAAAGGCTGTCCTAGTCAGGCAATGACCACCACCAGTAAAGGCTGTCCAAGTCGGGCAATGACCACCACCAGTAAAGGCTGTCCTAGTCAGGCAATGACCACCACCAGTAAAGGCTGGCCTAGTCAGGTAATGACCACCACCAGTAAAGGCTGTGCTAGTCAGGCAATGACCACCACCAGTAAATGCTGTCTAGTCGGGCAATGACCACCACCAGTCAAGGCTGCCCTAGTCAGGCAATGATCAACACCAGGAAAGGCTGTCCTAGTCGGGCAATGACCACCCCCAGTAAAGGCTGTCCTAGTCAGGGAATGACCACCACCAGTAAAGGCTGCACTAGTAAGGCAATGATCACCACCAGTAAAGGCTGTCCAAGTCGGGCAAAGACCACCACCAGTAAAGGCTGTCTAGTCGGGCAACGACCACCACCAGTAAAGGCTGCCCTAGTCAGGCAATGACCACCACCAGTAAAGGCTGTCCTAGTCGGGCAATGACCACCCCCAGTCAGTTACTTTGTGGTGTGTGGCGCAAGGGTCCTGTAGTAAGTGGGGGATATCGATGGGGACCATTCAATAGCTGTCCAGCAGGAGTGGTCACTCCAGCCTAAAGCAATTATCTATGGGTCCTATCTACATCATCAATGGCGATTGATATGAAGAAACTACTCTTTCTCCCTGCAGAACATTTTTTCAAATATTACTTTTTAAGTCATTATAATGAGGGATGAATTTAAGGCTACAAAAGATAAGAAATGAGTCATTCAAATCAATTCATATACCTAACCAATGAATATTTCTATTACAAGTGAATTTGAACAATTACAACGGCAAGGTTTTTTTATTTGATTTTAAATTCACAAAAACTTTGGTATAAAAAATACTTTCAAGAAAATGAGAAAAATTTAGGGCGAAATCTACATGAAAGACAACCTTCAAAGTGAGTTTGCCATTTCACATTATTTACTAGTACAATACTTAATATGAAAGAAATAGAACTGATCGTTGCAATATGAGGAAGATCAGTTTAGTTCTTCCTTTGGCCATTTTGTTTTTATGATCAATCTCAAAATATAACATGCACAACTAGGGATCAAGGGGAACCTACCTATCAAATTTGAGAAAGCTCCCTCAAGTTATTCCTGAAAAATAGCACTAACAATCCTTCAATGTCAAAAATTGAAGACGGCCGCCAGTCGGCTGGCCATTTTGTTTATCTGATCAGTCTCAAAAGTAAATATGCATAACTAGGGACCAAGGGGAACCTACATATAAAATTTGAGAAAGATCCCTCTGGTACTTCCTGAAAAATAGCGATAACAAGAACTGTTTAAGGGCAAACCACGGACAGACCAAGGACGCAAGGTAATTTGAATAGCCCACCATCAGATGATTTTTTTCAGAATGAAAATTATGAGAAAATTCAAGAATCCTAAGTATCCCAAGAAATGTTTCAATTAATACAATCCAGTCAGTTTTAGCTATTGAATGTCATTTACTCTCCTATAACTTTCAATTAGTAAATAATACACTAGATAAATATCAGGAAATCCATGCAGTTTTATCAGAAGTAACAGAACAACCCTAAATAGTTATTCAGACAAGTTTATAAATTGACCTGAATTATCTGGCTAACTTATTGTGAATATAGAGATGATGATGATATTATGAGGATCAGCAGTAAAGCAAGCATGCCACCAATTGTATAGAATACCTACCTAATCTTACTGGCAGTGTTTCTAAAGGACGTCCTGCGATCTTCATCACTGTCAGAGTCGTACGAGTCAGACAGGCGCCTCTCCCTCCTTTTCCCTCCTGCTGCTCGTCGATGTTGTGTCTTTGTTGGGCGACGGGAAGACCTCTTTGACTGTGGTGGTCTGTTAAGAAAAGATAGCGCAATGTTAAAGATTTCTTAAAGAGCAAATTGCCCTATTCAACTTAATTTGTATGCATTTATCCTTTATAACATTATAATTTACAAATAAAGTAACATAAAATATTTTTCAATTTAAATAGATTTCAAACTAGCCTGTTTCATATGTATTTTGGGAAGCATTTATGGAAAGTAAAATATCAACGTTCAGAAGCTAATTAACAACTTACAATTAAAATCATTACGGCGTCAACAAGCCGTGTTCAAAAAGAACACGCCAACAAACCGAACGGTTGTTTCAGCATGTCACTTACTGCATCTGGCTCGTCAATTAATCAATAGAACGTTTGAGGTCGGTGTCATCCTTGTTTTCAGAAGCAGTGTACAACAATGTATCTTCTTCAGAGACTTGTTGTTTGCGCTCATTGTCAACCTAAGATTACGCATACACGTATATGGAAATGTAAAATTTACATTGCATGTACATGTTTCAAACCATGTGTCATGACTTGTTTCGTTTGATGTGTACTTATCCACATTTTCCTGAACTGTTATGGTATTTCTGATTACAAGAGGGTAAAATGAAGAACATTACAAATGCTTGAAAGCTGTCCATACCGGCCACTGCACTGAAAAGTAATACCATAGAACCAGAGACGTATTAAACGTCTCTGATAGTTCACTTGACTTTTTTATTTGTAACGTTTACATGCAAACGTATACGTGTTAAATATATTTGTAAATGTTTCAAACAACATACTTATATATCTATATATCAATTAATTGCCATATTAGACTGTTTCGTTGAGCATATCCACATGCTATTGCGTACACAGGGACTTGACACGTTCCTATGACCCTGACTGTGACTGCTTATGAATATTTCCTGTCTTGATAAAAACTAAACAGTTTCAATTGTAACTGCAATATTTATTCAATATTGAACAAAAACTTAATAAAAACGAAATCAATAAGGTATCATTTTCCGGGGAATTATCTCCATGGATACGCTCCATCTAGAGTAACACTGCAGCTGACATTCGTGGGTACACAATGTACTATCGGCACACAGGTTATCTAACGTCACTGTACCCATATCGGGACATTTTTTAGATAAATATCAATGTTCTTTATACAATACTATACTATCAGTTCCAAAAATGTTTGTTCGTTTTTCATAAATAGATACCATCCACTTTTTCTTTTTATCACAATTTGATATTTCGGGCAAGTGGTTCTATAAAAAGAACGCGAAATACCATCAAAGGTACGTAGGCCGTTGAACCGGCGTTACTGTACCCTGGAAAGGACACTTCCGGTATTTTGGCGAATATTTGGGGATAAACGATCAATATTGGCAGAAAATATGCATAGTTGAAATATGTTGGAGACAACGAGGGTTCTGATTAAATTTTTCTCCCAACTCTCATTAGTTTTGATAAAATAGACTTTGGAAAATTATATCCAAATAAATAGCGTCGCACGGTACGTAAATCAGGAAAGTCTTGTTTTGGTCATTATTCCTACCTTTAAATTGTTCATGCAACGATAATCAGCAGCCAATAAAGCTTAATACAGTTTATTTGTCATGACAATATTCTCACATAAAACTGTATACATAAAAGTACTTCTTTGCATTGAATAACAGTTTCTTGCCTCGATTGTACACTTACTTTTATTATTAAAAATAATGTTATCGTTTTCGTGCACATCGTTGTTATTATATAATTTACAAATATATTTAAGGAGGTATGAAAGTTATTTAACTGAATGAGTTGCCGAATCTTGCACCGTTCTGTGATATTACTTTTCAGTGCAGCGGCCGGTATGGACAGCTTTCAAGCATGTGTAATATTCTTCAGTTTGCCCTCTTGTAATCAGAAATACCATTACAGTTCACGAAAATATGGATAAGTACACATCAAACGAAACAAGTCATGACACATTGTTTGAAACATGTACATGCAATGTAAATTTTACATTTCCATATACGTGTATGCGTAATCTTTAGTTGACAATGCGCGCAAACAACAAGTCTCCAAAAAGATACATTGTTGTACACTGCTTCTGAAAACAGGGACGACACCGACCTCAAACGTTCTATCGACCAATCGACGAGACAGATGCAGTGAGTGACACGCTGAAACAACCGTTCGGTTTGTTGGCGTGTTCTTTTTGAACACGGCTTGTTGACGCCGTAACGATTTTGATTGTATGAAAAACAAGAGGCCCATGGGCATAAACCGTCACCCGAGTCCTACAGTATTTATTTTTGTTGTTGAAATATGTACCAATTTGAGTACAAAATAGTAAAGTATAATGTTAACTTAAGTTTGTAAGGACCATGAGCTGATCATTCCTAGACCGAGTTTCAGTTAAATCGGCCTATTAGAACTTGTTTTTAAGTTTGAAATAGTTTTTCAAAAAGGCGGCCGTGGCGGCCCTATTGGATTTCTGATCGACCCGAAAAATAACAACACTTGGTCAGGGAGATGTCAGTAACCTACCCATGAAATATTAATGAAATCCCTTTGTCAGTATTTCAGCTTAAGTTGAAAATGTTAAATGTTAACGGACGACGGACGAAGACGGATAGCAATTAGGTCACTTGAGCTAAAGCTCAGGTGACCTAAAGAAACTAGTATCCTGGCTGGCAATGATATCAAATGATCACACTTTACAACAACATTACCTTTATTCTGGTATTTATACGCAGTTCTCATGTTTATGTTTATCTATTTATGGCACACATTTGTCTTCAAGGTAACTACAGGTGAGAACTCTCCAGGGAAATGTTTTGCTATCTGTCTTACCGTTTTTGTCGGATAGCAGCTTTGTAGCCGTCACTTGATCCACTGTCACTGTCACTGGTGCTATGACTACCGCCCCAGTCCCCAGACCTGAAATCAACCATTCATGTATGTTACAACTAAAAATCAACCATACATGTATGTTACAACTAAAAATCAACCATACATATATGTTACAACTAAAGCCAAGTCATTTCCTGTTCTACTGCCGCTGTATCATCTCGACACATAAATACACTGGTATCACCAAAATATAGAAATTTCCATGAATCGTGCTTCTTTAACTTCAAACTTTCATCAGAATAATATAACAATTCCATTTTCAGAGTTAAAGTGCAAAATATAACACCATACCAATTTGTTCAGTTATAAGTCTATTACAAATAACTTTGAAAAAGGTCTAGATTTGTTTTCAAGTGTTGTTTTTTGTAAATTAAGAAATAAAGTCTTTCAATAAATAATATTTAAAACATAAGCCAGGTTACTCACCCTTTTCTCCGGGATCGTTTCTTGCCTGAAGAATCCCCATCATCACTTTCATTCTACAACAAATGATAGGAAGTTCTCATAACCAAGTCTTTCAATCTTCCACCAGTAACCTTGTTTTATCCATGTTCTAATGTGATCATACTCTCCCATCAGTAACCTTGTTTTATCCATGTTCTAATGTGATCATACTCTTCCACCAGTAACCTTGTTTTATCCATGGTCTAATGTGATCATACTCTTCCATCAGTAACCTTGTTTTATCTATGTTCTAATGTGATCATACTCTCCCATCAGTAACCTTCTTTTATCCATGTTCTAATGTGATCATACTCTTCCACCAGTAACCTTGTTTTATCCATGGTCTAATGTGATCATACTCTTCCATCAGTAACCTTGTTTTATCCATGTTCTCATCTTATCATACAATCTCCAGCATTGTGTTATTACCTTTCTTTGCAATTGGGTAAATGGTGAAATTATCTAAAATCGGGATTTTCCAATATAAATCTAAAATGAATTCACAGCTATTCCCAGTGCTATTCTTTCAATGCTTTTTTTATTTAAATGTTTATTACTTGAAATGTTATATAACTACATCGATATCTGAAAAGCAGGCTTTATATATAGTCCTTAGCTTCTTTTGCATATCCCATTCAACTGTATAAACTGAACCTTAAAAGGAAAGACAGGCACAGATAGGGACCAACGGTGACCTCTTGAAAATTTGTCTCTTGCATATTGAAGGATTCAGACTTTCCTGGCTGAAACTTACTGACTGAATCCCTAGTTTACACTGCATTTAACAATGCTGTTTAACAAAAAATTAAGGACACGTTCTACAATTTAGTACAGTTAAAAGCACACATAATTCTTGATTTATTGTCATATGTCTCAAAACTCTAAAACTGCATTTTGACCTAAGATCATTTGATAAGCCCAATTCCTGTCCATGTTTATACATTTATCACAAAACCTTTCTGTACCACCGTGACTGTTTCAACAGGATATGTGAAAGCAACCCTAGACTCATCTTTTTTAAAGCTGTTTCTGGAGATTTTTTAGAGTTCCAGACAAGAGCTTTAAAAAAGATGTCTGGAACTCTAAAAAATCTCCAGAAACAGGACAAGTTGATTGTATTACAAGTATATCTTTATTTAATGTGTTTACATCCGAGATTTCACAATGAAATCCACATATCTCTCTAGCTATTTAACTAGAGAAATTTAACAACAAAATCTGAGACACAGATTTATTTATTGCCTCAATGCATAAATAATAATCTCATGTTTTAGTAACTTTTTCAATTTCATTAAAATAGTTTCTAAAATCACCTAGTACAGCTCTATCTAACCCAACAAACCCACAACAATATAAATGACTGATCATGATCAGTTTAAAGCAGACATTTTTTTTTCTGACTGACCGAGCGAACAGCATGCACAATGTTGTTGGTGATATACCTAGTGGAGGGTGTAAAAACTTACAATGGAGGTGTACCTAATGGGCTCCTTCTTAGACCGGCCTGACCGCCTCAGTCCATACAAGTCAGGATTCTGTTCCACAATCTGAAATGAAAAATTCATGACACTGTTTATTACCCGACAGCTGTTATCCAGACGATGTTACTTCTAATGAAATAAAACAAAGGAAGAGAGAGATCCAAGAGGAATCCTGGCTCACCATCGTAAGATCTTCATTAGTTGTATGATATTCTGATTAAAATATTAACTTTATTTATTTTACAACAATTATGAAACAAGCTTTACAACTTATACTGATCACTCTTGTTGGCCCGACTGCCTTACTGTGGGAGGAGAACCAGGAGAAAACCCACAACCTTTATATATCTGATCGGGGAATCGAACCCCGGCTGCCTTGGTGAAAAGCAAGTGCACTATCCACTGTGCCGCCCGACTACAATTATTCTAACTGCTGATCTTCTTTTCTGTCCTTTATTCGAATCTTCATAAGCTGGGATTGATAGTTCAAAGTTAGGTCATCATTTTACAGGGCTCGGGTTTAAAGTTTTTAACCACTAGGAATGTGCCTTGTGTCAGAAAAAAAGTTGGCACTCAGGAAATAAAACTGCTTTACTAGAAAAAGACAGGTTCTAATTTACTTATCATTTTGCTTTTCATGGTGATCAATTTGTCATGCCTTAAATATTATTATTTTCACTAAGTTACAATTACAGATTCTGCATTTCATATAAACCAAGTTAGCTGCATTTCATATAAACCAAGTCAGCTGCATTTCATTTAGTCACATGCCAAACATATCACATTATATTCTGATTTGGTAGTGAAGGGCAATCGGTTTAAAATCATAATCGATAATCGGTTTGTTATCGGAAGTAGTAAACCCATCGATGATTAAGCAGCTTGTATAATCAGTTTATAATTGTTTTGGACTGAATACCAAAATTAAGTGAGAACACTACCATCACATCAATAGACAGAGTTGTTCACTATACATGAGGTTTGGTTCTTTTATAATGAATAAATATCAAGCAACTTTTATGCATTTTTATTAATCATATAGTATAAATCATTACAATATATGACTTTCGAAGCATACTGTACATGGAAGAGATTTAAATATTTTAATTTCAATGATAAACCGATTATATCAATTAATGAATTTGTAATTGATAATCGGAATCAGAAAGGGCAAACTGATCTATTTTCGATTATAATCAATCATCAGCCCATCACTATGATTCGGACAGAATGAAAACCAAAGAAAGAAACAGGCCATATATATAAACGATCATAAATACAATTTGCGATGACATCTCATACACAAAATAAGTGTGCATATATTCATTGAGAATTTGAACTGACTTATTATCTCTGTCAATGTAAGTGATTTTTCTGAACCCTTCCCGAAAAAAATAAACATATTAACGAGTTAATTTAACATGCATATACTTGCTAACTTTCATAACTAGCAACATATGTTTGATTCCCTCTCATTACTGCCGATACCTGTTAAAAAGGGATGCATTTTTAGAAGTTCTGCTCCATGGTTCGTTTCAGCAAGTTACAGAATGTTATGAAGCATTGTAAATATGCTTTGCAGTACATCATTCAAGATGCCCTCAGAGTCATTCAGGAACAATACGTTGAACAGTTTCTGTTGTTTGATGTCAACTCAGATGCTGTGATGAAAGTAACTAAGTAAAATAATCTATTTAGTAATTTATTATTTTTCACCTGGCACCGGGACGAGTGTGGTTGTAAATCCCACTTGTCCTTTTCAATTTTCCCCTGGTCAGGACGAGTGGATGGATGGTTAGCCTGTGCCCTGATTTGACCCAAAAACTAAAACAGTGATGTGTAAAATATATGTACAGAACAAAAGAGAATTCCGTTTTCTGGCAGTCATATTTTTCTTCTGATCAAGCATCTTGAAGCTCAAATCAAAGTATGCAAAACTAGCAAAAAGAAGTACTTTAAACGACATTCCTCAAACTTTACATGTAGATGATTTCCACAGCAATAACAGCTTTGAACTGTCAAAATCAAAGATTGCTACCTGGCAGCCATCTTTTTTACCTAAGGAAACATGCACAAATATGGACCAAAGGGGATTTTAAATTTTCTAAAACTTTACAATGATCCTTCAAGACTTTCTCGAGAAATAGTGACAACGTACAGTTATCACCAAGATCTGTCAAAATCAAAAATGAATGCCTTATGGCTGTCTTGTTTTTTTCTATCAGTCTCAGAATGAAACATGCAAAACTAAAGAGCAGGGGAACATTTACATGAAATTTCAGAAAGATCTGCAAAGCACTTCTTGAGTAATAGTGATAACAAACTAAAACTGTCGTAGATGAGTTAAAAAACATTTACACAGCTGTCTTAGTTTGTAACCGACTTACTTCCTTGAGTTCACCGATATTTGCTTTGCGAGGACGACCCTTCTTGCCTGTTGAGGGCACATCTTGGGAGTCTGAGGTGGTAAAATCTACCTTGGGTCTCTTGGTCTCGTGATCCTCATCACTGCAGTCTGATCCACTCTCAGACTTGTTAGAGTTAGCTTCACTCTCATTGCCATGGCTGGAATCTGAAGAGCTATCTGATGCACTGGACTTGACTGACTTTTGAACTTCACCTGCTCCAGATCCTGACCCTGACCCTGACCCGGATCCCGATTCAGAATCGGAGTCTGAACTTGAACCACTGAAATAGGACATCATCATCATATCCTGATATTCTGCTATACACAGAAGAATGTACAGAAACCAATTACCAACTTACAAGGCACATCAACTATATAGCCTACTTTTTCTATTCTTCAGCGTTAATTCCTTATTTCTATTCATTATCATTTCAGTGTAATTTGTCCCTTCTCAATAAACCTAAACTTTCCTTCTTTGAACAACCCTTTATGCTTCAAATATGCTTTTAATTTCTTCCAAACTCACTTCTGCTATTGATCAGTTTAAAATCCCTGCCTTTAAAGAATGAAATGATATGGAATCATTTTACATAGAAAGATATCACTCATGTCAGCTATTAACGACATTTTCTAGCTGTATTCATTCCCTCGACCTTGACCTTTAGAGAATGACTTATATAATTATCATGATGCATTTTGATAAATTATTTTGAGTTATGATTGTAATATACACCAATCAAGCACATCAGCGTACGTAACAAACATTACCTTGAGTTGGAGCCTGATCCGCTATCTTCTACATCATATTTTTTTTCATTTGAACCATTTCTGGAATCAAGTGAGGATTTATTTAACTTCAATTTCGAGTTGTCATCATTACATGTTGGACCAAACAGGGGGCTGCTGAAATCCAATCCACCCTTAAAATAAAAAAAATAAAAAAATATCAGAAACTATTTTATGTGCCTCAGATAACGTAGTAAGGTTCCTGTATAGCTGTACTTCTCCTCTTTAAAGTATTACACAAGAATATTAGTTAGTCTACTTTCAAAGCAAATGTTTTCCACTTCACATGTTGATATGACCTTGAGATGACCTTGATAGTTAATGATCATTACAATTTATGACACCTTCCACTCCTGACCCTTACACATAGCCCGTATACAGTGCTGAGTATCCTCACTATATAACACTTCAGTTCACCCATTCATATAAAATACAGACTAAGTACTTCATATAGTATATACATATATATATCTTGCTTGTGGCAACTTCTGAACATTTTTAAAACATTGGAAGGTACATATAACAACTTGCTTCAATTGATAGTAGTCTTGTTAACAATTCCATGTAAATAATTAGTGAAATATCTCAAATGGGTCCGTCTTAAATTCTCGAAAAATCAACATCATATGAAAGTTAAGAGTGTACACATCCTGTAGCCACAATTTCAGCTTGGTCCACATTCAATTATCATGTGTTTGTTGACTTTTTCTTCACAATAGACATGTCTGCAATGTTCATACAAGGTATCAACACCCAAGTTACATTATAATGACTAGATGTAACGGACAATGTCAAATGTTCCGTACTTCAACCGATTTACTCTGTAAATTTTTCAACCACAAATTATAAAATGTCAACTGACCCACAGACAACTTAATTGTGACGTAGACGGTAGAGCATTCTGTCATGAACGTCATCAAAAGTTAATTATTTATCCTAAAAATGTTTAGACATCAAATTCCACAAGCATTATCAACCCAAATACCTTAAGTAATGCAAAAACTAACAAATAAGATTGTGTTTGCATTAGATAGACCTCTTGGATTATAATTCATGCCTTTGTGCAATAATTGTCAAATGCACTTTTAAAAAACAGTGGATTTCAACAAAATCTATGATATCTTCAAAGCCAAGCATTAGAAAATATTTATCACAAAGGTCAAGGTCACAGTGACCTTCACATGTTGATGACCTTGAGATGACCTTGATAGTTAATAACCATTACAATATATGACACACCCACTCCAGACCCACACACACAGCCCCTATACAGTGCTGAGTATCCTCACTATATAACACTAGTACAGCCTCCATTTTATACACACCCACTGCAGACACAAAATGGATGCCTTATAATCAACATGTACCAGTGTATTCTAAGATAACTCAGCATCAAAATAAAAAATAATCATGAATTCGTCAAATAATAAGGATATTAGCAAACATGAGTGCTAATCAACATTGAAGCTCTTGTTCAGTTCTACAATTGATACAAAATACAGACTAAGTACTTCATATAATTATACATGTATACACTGTATACCTAATTTGTGGCAACTTCTGAACATTTTTAAATCATTGGAAGGTAAGAATTACACCTATAACAACTTGCTTCGTTTGATAGTAGTCTAAATATTAAATCCTTGTAAATAATTAGTGAAATATCTCAAATGGGTCCGTCTTAAATTCCCGAAAAATCAACATCATATGAAAGTAAAGAGTGTATACATCATGTAGCCACAATTTCAGCTTGGTCCACATTCATTTATCATGTGTTTGTTGCCTTTTTCTTCACGATAGACATGTCTGCAATGTTCATACAAGGTATCAACACCCAAGCTACATTATAATGACTAGATGTAACGGACAATCTCAAATGTTCCATACTACAACAGATATGTTCTGTGAATCTTACAACCACAAGCTAAAATGTCAGTTGACCCACAAACAACTTTATTGTGACGCAGAGCATTCTGTCATGAACATTATCAAAAGTTAATTATTTATCCTAAAAATGTTTAGACATCAAATTCCACAAGCATTATCAACCCAAATACCTTAAGTAATGCAAAAACTAACAAATAAGATTGTGTTTGCATTAGATAGACCTCTTGGATTATAATTCATGCCTTTGTGCAATAATCGTAAAATGCACTTTAAAAAACAGTGGATTTCAACAAAATCTATGATATCTTCAAAGCCAAGCATTAGAAAATATTTATCACAAAGGTCAAGGTCATAATGACCTTCACATGTTGATGACCTTGAGATGACCTTGATAGTTAATAACCATTACAATATATGATACTTCCCACTCCAGACCCACACTCAAAACCCCTATGCAGTGCTGAGTATCCTCACTATATAACACTAGTACAGCCTCCATTTTATACACACCCACTGCAGACACAAAATGGCTGCCTTTATAATCAATATTACCAGTGTATTCTAAGATAACTCAGCATCAGAATTAAAACTAAATCATGAATTTGTCAAATAATAAGGATATTAGCAAACATGAGTGCTAATCAACATTGAAGCTCTGGTTCAGGTCCACAATTGATACAAAATACAGACTAAGTACTTCATATAATTATACATGTATACATTGTATATCTAATTTGTGGCAACTTCTGAACTCTTTTAAATCATTGGAAGGTAAGAATTACACCTATAACAACTCGCTTCATTTGATAGTAGTCTAGTTATTAAATCCTTGTCAATAATTAGTGAAATATCTCAAATGGGTCCGTCTTAAATTCTCGAAAAATCAACATCATATGAAAGTTAAGAGTGTATACATCATGTAGCCACAATTTCAGCTTGGTCCACATTCAATTATCATGTGTTTGTTGACTTTTTCTTCACAATAGACATGTCTGCAATGTTCATACAAGGTATCAACACCCAAGTTACATTTTAAGGACTAGATGTAACGGACAATGTCAAAGGTTCCGTACTTCAACAGATTTACTCTGTAAATTTTTCAACCACAAATTATAAAATGTCAACTGACCCACAGACAATTGAATTGTGAAGTAGACGGTAGAGCATTATGTCATGAACGTCATCAAAAGTTAACTATTTATCATAAAAATGTTCAGACATTCCACATGCATTATCATCCCACATCCCTTAAATCATGTCAAAACTGACAATTAAGATTGTAAAAGATTGTATTTGCATTAGATAGACCTCTTGTATTATAATTCTTGTCTTTGTGCAATAATCGTCAAATGCACTTTTATAAAACAGTGAATTTCAACAAAATCTATGTTTTCTACAAAGCCAATCATTAGAAAATATTTATCACAAAGGTTAAGGTCACAGTGACCTTCACATGCTGTTGACCTTGAGATGACCTTGATAATTAATAACCATTACAATGTATGACACCTTCCACTCCAGACCCTCACTCAAAACCCCTATACAGTGCTGAGTATCCTCACTATATAACACTAGTACAGCCTCCATTTTGTACACACCCACTGCAGACACAAAATGGATGCCTTATAATCAACATGTACCAGTGTATTCTAAGATAACTCAGCATCAAAATAAAAACTAAATCATGAATTCGTCAAACAATAAGGATATTAGCAAACATGAGTGCTAATCAACATTGAAGCTCTGGTTCAGTTCACCAATTGAAACAAAATACAGACTAAGTACTTCATATAATAATACATGTATACATTGTATATCTAATTTGTGGCAACTTCTGAACATTTTTAAATCATTGGAAGGTAAGAATTACACCTATAACAACTTGCTTCATTTGATAGTAGTCTAGTTATTAAATCCTTGTAAATAATTAGTGAAATATCTCAAATGGGTCCGTCTTAAATTCTCGAAAAATCAACATCATATGAAAGTAAAGAGTGTACACATCCTGTAGCCACAATGTCAGCTTGGTCCACATTCAATTATCATGAGTTTGCGAACATTTTCTTAACAATAGACATGTCTCCAATGTTCATACAAGGTATCAACACCCAAGTTACATTTTAAGGACTAGATGTAACGGACAATGTCAAATGTTCCGTACTTCAACAGATTTACTCTGTAAATTTTTCAACCACAAGTTATAAAATGTCAACTGACCCACAGACAATTTAATTGTGACATAGACGGTAGAGCTTTCTGTCATGAACGTCATCAAAAGTTAACTATTTATCATAAAAATGTTCAGACATTCCACATGCATTATCATCCCACATCCCTTAAGTCATGTCAAAACTGACAAATAAGATTGTATTTGCATTAGATAGACCTCTTGTATTATAATTCTTGCCTTTGTGCAATAATCGTCAAATGCACTTTTATAAAGCAGCGAATTTCAACAAAATCTATAATATCTACAAAGCCTAGCATTAGAAAATATTTATAGCAAAGGTCAAGGTCACAGTGACCTTCACATGTTGATGACCTTGAGATGACCTTGATAGTTAATATCCATTACAATATATGACACCTCCCACTCCAGACCCACACACAAAACCCCTATACAGTGCTGAGTATCCTCACTATATAACACTAGTACAGCCTCCATTTTATACACACCCACTGCAGACACAAAATGGCTGCCTTATAATCAATATTACCAGTGTATTCGAAGATAACTCAGCATCAGAATTAAAACTAAATCATGAATTTGTCAAATAATAAGGATATTAGCAAACATGAGTGCTAATCAACATTGAAGCTCTGGTTCAGTTCCACAATTGATACAAAATACAGACTAAGTACTTCATATAATTATACATGTATACATCGTATATCTAATTTGTGGCAACTTCTGAACATTTTTAAATCATTGGAAGGTAAGAATTACACCTATAACAACTTGCTTCATTTGATAGTAGTCTAGTTATTAAATCCTTGTTAATAATTAGTGAAATATCTCAAATGGGTCCGTCTTAAATTCTCGAAAAATCAACATCATATGAAAGCAAAGAGCATACACATCATGTAACCATAATTTCAGCTTGGTCCACATTCAATTATCATGAGTGTGCTAACTTTTTCTTCACATTAGACATGTCTGCAATGTTCATACAAGGTATCAACACCCAAGCTACATTTTAAGGACTAGATGTAACGGACAATGTCAAAGGTTCCGTACTTCAATAGA